AAGGAGCTCATTTTGAGCCTGGATCCAGATTTATTGTTGATTCTGTTCATAGTGGAGAATCTGTGGAAGCTCATTGGTAGAATTCCCTTATGACAGAAAGAAGGCCACGATTCACACCATTTTATCCTCTGGAGGAGGGAAACATTTATTAAAATTCATAATTCCTACTGCTGTCTTTAACACTTCATAAGTTTATAGGTTCATTTGAACATTTCTTTAAACAGCAGAATATTTTGGCTTAAACTCCATGAAGGTTTTAGTTAATGTTGGAATCAGCCTTTCTTTATTGGTTCGGTTGATATTAAGCTTTGAATTAATTTCAGGAAGAAATAAAAGTTTACTGACCATAACTTTAGGCGGGATGAAATCCTCTCCTTGGCAGGACAGCCTCTCCTCCTCCCACTCAGCATCCTCACCCAACCCTTCATCCAGAGTCCCTGAGGAGGTCTGCAGCTCTGCACCTGCCGCACACACCAGAGCAAGGGTGAGAGGAGCGGGGCGCACCCCGTTATTAGCCCCCTACCTGGAGGAACGCAGCAGCCTCCCTCTGCACCCCCCCACATAACCAGACATGACACCATGCAGCAGGCGGGTTGGCAAAAGGCAGGCGGCAGGCGGGTGGCGGCAGGCAAAAGGCGGGCGGGTGGCAGGCAGGTGGGGGGCAGGCAGGCGGAATGAAGATGGCTCTGTGGATCAGGGCGGATCCTGACGGACGGAGGAGCAGCGCCTGTGGAGATCAGCGAGTGTTCGTTCCATCTGTGTGGAGGTCTACATGTGGACCTGTGTCACCATGTAGGTGGGGGCGTCCTTTATATAAAGCCTTCCAAAAGTATTCATACCCCTTAAACTTCACATTTTGTCACATGACCAACGACTAACCGATGCGCTGCAGTGTTTTATTTGTCCCAGTCCACTGAGCTGGGATGTAAAGTCCCTCAGAGCGTTAGAGAAGAAACAAGGACGTCTGATTTCCTGTGGAGCGTCTCCAGACCACAGCATCTCCCAGACCTCCAGTCAGTCATCCGCCTCAACATGGTTATAGATCAACTGCAAACCTTCTCTGTCAAAGTTATGGAGGATCCTTGTTTCTCTGCAGCAGGGGCAGGACAGTCCGACCGGACGGAGAGATGGACTGATAACGGCTAATAGCAGCCATTCAATGGTTGATCCCAATCCGTTCTCCAGACGGTCTGTAGACTGACCTCTGCAGCATCAGCATCTACAGAAAGTCCTGTTCAGGGATGTTCTTCATCCAGACTGACTAAAGC